TGACTCCTCGTCTGAGGCGGAAATGTCCGAATCCTGCCTCACATCAAAAAAATCGAGGGCCTTGTCCCGCGGGTAGCTTTCTGGAAGCTGGGAAAGCTTTTAGCCTGAAGCGAAGATGGCCGCCCAGCGTTGTTTCTCCTTGAGCAGGAGAAGCTTGCTGGATGGGCAAGAAGCCTGCGGTGTCGGGGCTTGACCTGCGTGTTCTGCACCGAGGCAGCCCTCGCAGATGGCGTGCAGGTCAGAGCTGAGGATGAACCCCGTCCTGCAGAGTGGACACAGGCGAATAACTCCGCTGGATGTCATCTTCTGCTCTTCTATCTAAAAAAGTTAAGTCAGGTCCTCTGGACGTTCAAAAAAACATCAACAAAAAAAACTTGTTGCTGTTTTTTTTAACGTCCAGAGGACCCGACTTAACTTTTTTAGATTTTTCAACCTGGATTATTGAGCATGCATCAGGATCTTCTGCTCTTTAGTTTTCTTATGTGCTTGCTGGCTGAAGAAAAAAGGGGAGCTAATCCCCAGTCTCAGGGCAGTTTATATGGACCGGGGTGGGGTTCACACAGCAGGTGGACTAAAGTTTTCAGTGCTGCACTGCATGCGAGGGGTAAACCCACTAGCGATAGCCTTAAATGGTGAAGCCTATACAAAATAGACCCTTTGTGCAATCCTCTTTCTACACAAGCATCTTGCCACCTGTTAGACCATTTTTATGGGGTTGCAGGGTTCCTCAATGCAGAGTATTGGAATAAAAAAAAATCATGTTTGCATTAAGGGGTGTTTTTGAATTAAACTGTCATGACTGAAAATAGTTTCTGGTGGAAAACTGAACATCTTCACGTACTGCCAGCACAGTTGATCAATTTTATAGAAACTGACACAGAGCTGCACCTTTACACTCCAGTAAATGATCTAAGCTGAGCTTGTGCTTGTTAGAAAAACTAATGGAAATCTTTCAATCCAGTATGTTGATTAGATTATTTGATGTGCTCTTACCCACTGGTTTCTTCTTGAAATTGAGAATCAACACATACTCACAAATGTCCACACTTTTGATAAACTATCATTATGTTTGCTGTGTTTTGTGAAATGAAATTCTTTTTGGTTTAACTTGTTTTTCTTTCTTCACAGGGGTCAGAGGTAAAAAGAGGCAGCTCTCCTGCTTATTCAGTAAGTATATAACTTCTCTAGAAATCCCACAACAGCAGTTTGAACTACACTTCTACTTGTCATAGTTAAATATAGTAATAACCATATTGTGGCTTACTAACAAAATCAATTTTTCAGACTCCCGAGAAGAAACAATCTGAAACTGCCAGAGGCAGAAAAAGGAAACCGGAGATCCAATCCGAGAGCAGCCAAGGTCTTTTAAAAATCTGGATATATATTCAACTCTTGTTAAATAGTATTTATTAAATATGTGGCATAAACTTAAACTCTCTTATTTTCTCTCTCAAAGGAAAATCATCTGTACGAGGACCCAAAATAAGTGATTATTTTGATGTGAGTTTAGTTTCATATTTTTTATACAGTTAACTGAAGTGATGGGTAAATGTATCTTGAATAAGTGCTATATTAATGTGTAATGCATATTTAATTTTATGTTTAAGATAAATAAAAATAAAAGAAAAGAACGACTGTCAGGTCTGCTGTGCCCAGATGTTTGACAGTGATGCAACTTGTCTTGTAGTTCCAGGGAGGAAACGGCTCCAGTCCTGTGAGAGGTCTCCCTCCAGTGCTTCGTTCACCCCAGAACTCACATTCCCACTCTGCTCAGGGCACTGCTGTAGGTTACACCAATATGTCAGAGTAAACATTTCCTTCTGTTGTGTCCTTATGCTACCCAATCCTAACTTTTCCCCCTATTTTAGGTTAGACAGAATAGCTCCTCTCCTACTAATATGTCTATTGGGGACCACATGACAAATCCAAAGCAACTAGCCGTCAAATTTGTTCAGGTGAGACTGAAGTCTGGAAGGAACTGCTTTTTTGAAGTATTTACATTAAGAAGTTCTTTAAATCATTTTCTTTTGTTTTTAACTCTAGACTGACCTTACAATTTTAAAACTGGCTGCCCTTGAAAGCACTAAGAATTTAGACCTTGAGAAGAAGGAGGGCAGAATAGACGACCTGCTAAGAGTAAGAAGACAAAACTTTTTGTACTGTAATACTTTAAAGCTCCACTTTTTTGTGCTATTGCTTTAGAGCCTGAACAGAATGGCTAAATATTTCATCAATATTTTGTATATAAAATAACTTTTTTGGTTTGTCAACATTATAAACCTTTATTTTACTTTTATTGTTTTTTTAAACTAGCTGTTTGTTTGTTTTTCTGCTTTCTAGGCAAACTGTGATCTCAGGAGGCAGATAGATGAGCAACAAAAATTACTTGAAAAGTATAAGGAACGCTTGAATAAATGCATCACTATGAGCAAGAAGTTGCTCATAGAAAAAGTTAGTTAATTTCTGTTCCGTCGTATAATTTGTGCGTATGTTTGTCTGTAAATCTAATGTATTTAATGTCGATCTTCAGAGCAACCAGGAGAAGCAGGCCTGTCGAGAGAAAAGCATGCAGGATAGACTACGTTTAGGCCATTTCACCACAGTGAGACATGGGGCCTCGTTCACAGAGCAGTGGACGGATGGCTACGCCTTCCAAAACCTTGTCAAGTGAGAATTTATTTTAACGACTGCCTTGCTTTTACCGTTTTGTTTTTTGTTTGATTTTGTTTTAATGACTGAATGAAACAGACTCGACCACAGAACCAGTTAAAGTGACGCAATTGTTTTACACATCGATATTTTTTTTACATTATTATCCATGGAGCAGACAGAAAAGTCAGATTGACAGAGTATGAAATTGTTTGATGCAGCCATAAAAATAATTGTGATTCAATAATTACTGATACTAATGATGTTCTTGACTTTACAAACCCATTTACTACAAACGCTCTGACTTATTTCTTTGAGCAGACAGCAGGAGTGGATAAACCAGCAGAGGGAAGACATTGAGAGGCAGAGAAAACTTCTTGCAAAGAGGAAACCTCCATCCTCCAGCAGCTCTCAAGCACCAACCACAAACTCGGAGCCAAAGCAACGCAAAACCAAGGCAGTAAATGGAGCAGAAAACGATCCCTTTCTAAAACCCAGCCTACCTCAACTGTAAGTCGATTTGCTGAAACTAGATGCACTGTAAAATTCACTTTCTGTAGAATTTTCTTTGATTTCTTTAAAAGTTATTCAGAAGTTGCAAATCAAATTATTACCAATCTCTGAAATGAAATATTCCACAAAGAGATATTTTCCCCTGCAACTTTTTCTCTCTTAAGACTGACCCTAGCAGAGTACCATGAACAGGAAGAAATCTTCAAACTGCGACTTGGACATCTGAAGAAGGTTTGTTTACAGTATTATCTTTTTTTTTTTTTTTTACAATACAGACTCACACAAGTAAAATATTTATATTCTCAATCATCTTGGACATGTTAATCCTAACAGGCTGAATCAAAGGCAAGTTGACTTCTTTTGTGATGATGTTTTAATGTTTTTATTCTCAACCGGACAAGAAGTCCAGCTGCTTCTGATTCTGCTTGTTTGGTTCACATGTGAATACATTGCTTAATAATTCTTTTGTCCAAATTTCAAAATATAAATCTGTCCCTTTTGTCCTTGTAAAATTTTTTAAAACATCATATTGGATTTATTTATTTATTTATTTCTGTTTGGCTCTGTACAAATTCAGCTGATATTTCGCTCAGAAATGTGCTCACGGGAAACTTTGGATGATCTCTTCTAGTAGTCGATTCTAAAGTTCCTTCTGTGCACTTGTGTGTTAATGCTCTTGAATCATTTACAGGAAGAAGCTGAGATCCAGGCTGAGCTGGAGCGCCTGGAGAGAGTGCGCAACCTTCACATCAGGGAGCTGAAGAGAATAAATAATGAAGACAGCTCCCAGTGAGTCTAAATCTATTTCTTTAACAAATACTGCTTTGACACTGAAACACGATGTATAAACAAGGATCATATCCTAATACCACAAACTAATAAGTTTCTTTTTAACTTTTCTTCCAAAAACCAAAGCAAATTTATCATTTACAAATGTATCCACATTTAAAATACTTTGCCTTCCCTCCTCCTCCTAAAGATTTAAAGACCATCCAACTCTGAATGAACGGTATCTGCTGCTCCATCTCCTGGGGAGAGGGGGCTTTAGTGAAGTTTACAAGGTAAGCTGACGTCACAAATTAAAGGAACACACAAAAACTATCAAACAGGTTGTTTAGTTCTGTGTAAGCCAGCGTTCCCTGCATGTGTTCATGTGTTGTACAGGCATTTGACTTGATTGAACAAAGATATGCTGCAGTGAAAATTCATCAACTTAACAAGAACTGGAGAGAAGAGAAAAAGGAGAATTATCACAAGTATGTGGGTTTATCCTTTGACTAATATGACTATGCATTGATTACTTATAAACACAGCCTCTGTACCTGTTTTCTTTGAGTGCTAATAGTGTAAAATCAACATTCACAGGCATGCATGTCGAGAGTACAGAATACACAAGGAGCTGGATCATCCCAGGATTGTAAAACTTTACGACTACTTCTCACTGGACACAGACACGTTAGTGCATTCTTCTTTTAGTTATCATCTATTACATGTGGGAGGTAAATCTTAAGACATTTATTCATTCACTAGGTTTTGCACCGTCATGGAGTACTGCGAGGGCAACGACTTGGATTTCTACTTGAAGCAGCATAAGCTAATGCCCGAAAAAGAGGCACGGTCGATCGTCATGCAGATCGTGAACGCATTAAAATACCTAAATGAAATCAAACCCCCCATTATCCATTATGACCTTAAACCAGGTAAACGCAACTCTGAACATGTGACTGAACACATGATCACAGCTTCACACTGACTTGAATGTTCTTTGATCTCCAGGTAATATCTTGTTGGTAGATGGCACGGCCTGCGGGGAAATAAAAATCACTGATTTTGGTCTTTCTAAAATCATGGATGATGATAACTACGGTGTAGACGGAATGGATCTGACGTCGCAGGGTGCAGGGACCTATTGGTGAGACAAACTGTTGTTCAAATAAAGTCCAAACATCCTGAAAGATTTGATGATTTGTTTAGAGAAAAGGAGTAATGCAATACTACAAGCATGCTTTCTGTTCAGACAAAAGCAACTTGTTTGTTGTTCCCCATCACAGAGCAGAGGGGGAGTTGGAAATACTCTCCGTCTGATCATGCATGTTGTCAGCATGAAAACTTGAAAAATAGTGAAATACAGACTTCCTTATTGGTGTGTGGCTACATCTAGGCATAAAAAAGGTTATTTTAAAAAACTGGGTTGCCATGTCAAAATTCATGATGGCTGCTGTCATGTATCCATCTTGTGAGCTGGATAACTTGGGGAAAAAAGCAATGTGCTAACTTCTATTTGGTGTGTGTGTCTCTGCACGTAGGTGTAAAAAATGTGTGTATATGTATCACCTCTGGAAGCCTTGACTGAGCTGTGTGGCAACTTCCTACATTTGTTTTTGGAAAAAATTGCAACCACCCGGGCTCTCATTTCCCCTCCAACTCATGACCCATCCATCCCACCTCAATCTGTAGCTCCATTTGACCATTTTGAACCCATCACTCTACAGCAGGTCATGTGCAGTTTGAAACAGTCTGGTTCCCCCTTTGATGTGGTCCCCCCTCGACTACTAAAGGGGGTTTTTCCAACTCTAGATCCGTCCATTCTGGCTATAGTAAACAGTAGTTTATCCACTGGCGTGGTGCCAAAATCCATTAAACATGCTGCTGTCCAGCCTCTCCTAAAAAAAAAAAAAAAACCTCGACCCTTCAGTCGTTTCCAACTTCCGGCCTGTCTCCAGACTCCCATTTGTTTCAAAATGGAGAAAATAGTCGAGTCCCAGTTGAAGTGCTTCCTGGAGGGTCACGCCATCTTAGAGCTATTCCAATCTGGCTTTAAACCTCTCCACAGCACTGAAACTGCCCTGCTGAAGGTCTTCAACGACATCTTCAGATTCACAGATACTGGTGATTCTGTGCTGCTTGTCCTATTGGGCCTCACAGCCGCCTTTGACACCATCGACCATGAGATCCTCATTGCTAGGTTGGAGCAGTGGGTGGGCATCACAGGGTCAGCCCTCAATTGGTTCAGATCTTACCTCACTGATGGATCCTTTTATGTCTCCATCAAGGATTTTAGTTCTGCAGAGGCAGAGCTTAAATGGGGGGTTCTGCAGGGCTCCATTCTGGGTCCCCTCCTATTCTCTCTATACCTGCTGCCGCTTGGTGCTATTTTCCAGAAACACAACATGCCCTTCAACCGCTGCTCAACTGCCTGGCTGACATCAGGGACTGGATGGCTTTAAACTTCTTAAGTTTCAATGAAAAGAAGTCTGAAGTCATGTTGTTCCCTCCCAACGACACAATCACAAACCACTGCATCGACCTCTCTGCTCTAACCCTGTCAGAAAAACAAAGAGTGACTAATCTGGGAGTGATAATGGACCCTTCCCTGAAACTTAACCATCACGTAAACATGATTGTTAAATCATGTTTCTTCCAACTGAGGTGGCTGTCTAAACTGAAGCCCATATTGTCTAAAAATAACCTGGAGACAGTAATACATGCATTCATTACATCTAGGCTTGATTACTGCAATTCACTACTGTTTGGTATCAGTCAAACCTCCATTGCACGACTACAACTGGTCCAGAATGCAGCAGCCCGATTTTTAACCAGTACAGGCAAAAGAGAGCACATTACACCAGTTTTGGCCTCACTGCACTGGTTACCGGTTCACTTTCAAATCCAGTTCAAAATACTCATGTATGTCTACAAATCACTGAACAGTGTCGCGCCCCCCCCCCCCCCCCCCACCAGTCTCTCTGATCTGCTACAACCGTATGTCCCACCACGTTCCCTGAAGTCAGTGGACCAGTTGCTCCTCACAGTTCCAGGATCTCGTCTTAAGCGCAGAGGTGACAGGGCCTTCTCTGTAGCAGGACCAAGACTTTGGAACAAGTTACCTCTGCTTGTCAGACTGGCCCCCTCCCTCTCGGTTTTCAAATCCCGTTTAAAAACTCACTACTATTCAGTAGCTTTCAACACCAGATGATCTGTGTTTTGATCCTGTATGCTCCACACTGGTTAGTCGTCATTATCCGCATCGTTTTTATGTCTATATTCTGATTTACCTCATTTTGTATTTTGCTTTGTGTGTTACCTGTTGTTTTGTCTGTACAGCACTTTGGTTGGCCTTGTCGCTGTTTTAAGTGCTCTATAAATAAAATGGTGTAGTGTATATATACTCTGAACAAAAAATATAAACGCAACACTTGTTTTAACTCGCATTTTTCATGAACTGACTCAAAGATCTTAAACTTTTTCTATGAACACAAAAGGCCTTTTTCTCTCGAATATTGTTCACTGCTTTGTACATCGGTGTCAGTGAACACTTCTTTGCCGAGATAATCGTCCATCTCAGGTGTGGCATATCAAGATGCTGATTAGACAGCATGATTATTGCACAGTCTTAGGCTGACCACAATAAAAGTCCACTCTAAAATGTGCAGTTTTATCACAGCACAATGCTACAGATGTTGCAAGTTTTGAGGGAGTGTGCAATTGGCACTCTGACTGCAGGGATGTCCTCCTGAGCTGTTGTCTGTGATTTGAATGTTTATTTCTCTACCATGAACCATCTCCAAAGGTTCTTCAAGAGATTTTGGCAGTACATCCAACTGCCCTCACAACCACAGACAACGTGTAACCTCACCAGCCCAGGACCTCATGCATCTTCACCACCAAGATCTGAGACCAGCCACCAGAACAACTGCTGCAGCAATCTATTTGCATAACCAAATAATTTCTGCACAAACTGTCTCAGGGAAGCTCATGCATGCTTGTTGTCCTCGTCAAGATCTCCACCTGACTGCAGTTCATCATCGTAACCAACTTGTTTGGATAAATGCTCACTTTCGATGGCATATTCCACGTTGGAGAGGTGTTCTCTTCACGGATGAATCTTGGTTTTCACTGTACAGAGCAGATGGTAGACTGCATGTATGGCGTTGTGTGAGATTTGCTGATTCAACGTTGTGAATCGAGTGGTCCATGGTGGCGGTGGGGTTATGGTATGGGCAGGCATGTTATGGACAACGAGCACAGGTGCATTTTATTGATGACATTTTGAATGCACAGAGATGCTGTTACGAGATCCTGAGGCCCATTGTTGTGCCATTCATCCACAACATCACCTCATGTTGCAGCAGGATAATGCACGGACCCATGTTGACAGGATCAGTACACAATTCCTGGAAGCTGAAAACATCCCAGTTCTTGCATGGTCAGCATACTCACCATACATGTCACCTGTTGAGCATGTTTGGGATGCTCTGGATCAGCATATATTCCAGTGCCTGACGGTACCATTGAAGAATAGTGGACCAACATTCCACAGGCCACAATCAACTTGATCAACTCTTTGAAGGAGATGTTTCACTACGAGAAGCAAATGGTCAACCAGATACTGGCTGGTTTTCTGGACACCCCCCCCCCCCCCCCAATACAGTAAAACTGCACATTTTAGAGTGGCCTTTCATTGTGGCCAGCATAACATACACCTGTCTAATCAGCATTTTGATATGCCATGCCTGTGAGGTGGACAGATTATCTTGGCAAAGAAGTGCTCACTAACACAGATTTATACACATTTGTGAACAATATTTTAGAAAAAGGCCTAAAAATATTTTTCAGCTCATAAAAAATTAAACAAAAGTGTTATATTTTTGTTCAGTGTATTGATGAGTGTAAACCGACCACCCCCCATCATTGGAGGAACTGTTTTTGTAGTTTTTATATTACTTAAAATTATAGTGTCCTCAAATGATTGGGGTGGTCAAAGATTAATCTGTGGTGGCCAAGGCCACCATTGGCCACCCCCTGGCTTCGCCTTTGTGCTTGGTCGTGGATAAAACTGATCCATCGCAGCCTCAGTCAAGCCAAAATAAATAAAACGTCCTCTTTTCTACACAGTGTAACTCCTAACCACTTAAAGAACTTGCACCAAAAACATTCAGGTTTACTTGCATTTCCCCGTTCCAGTCCTGAAAAACACTCCTCTCAAAAATGGCAAACATTCACTTTTCAAATCCTTCAGCGACGGGAGACCTCGACGTGGCGCTTGTTTGAGCAAAGATTCAGCATGTGTACTGATGTAGCTAAACTGTATAATTTAAACTTTGCACCTGAATGATGTGGTTCAAACTGGTTTTGTGTTGGTAATCCATTACTGGTTGTGAACCTTTTGAACACCTTGTATGTTTCTGATTGTAGGTACTTGCCCCCTGAATGTTTTGTGGTTGGTAAAGAGCCACCAAAGATCTCCAATAAGGTGGATGTGTGGTCAGTGGGTGTCATCTTTTTCCAGTGTCTGTATGGAAGGAAGGTAAGGATATTCAATTTTCCTTGATGTTTTTTTTTTTTTATATATTTTTTATTTTTATTTATTTAGCCTTTATTTATCCAGGTTAGTCTCATTGAGCCACGAGAACGTGTAGTTTAAGCTTAAAGCTAAATGTATGTCTCTAAATTTTCAGCCTTTTGGCCACAACCAGTCACAGCAGGACATTCTGCAAGAGAACACCATACTGAAAGCTACTGAGGTCCAGTTCCCTGTCAAACCTGTAGTCACAAACGAAGCAAAGGTAAGAGAAGTTGCATTCGACTCTGGTTGTTTTAAGACGTTGTGTTTTTGTGGATAAGTGTTATTTTCAAGTAATTTCTCCCACATTTAGGCCTTCATAAGGCGATGCCTGGCGTACAGGAAGGAAGATCGGTTTGATGTTCTCCAGCTGGGAAGTGATGCCTACCTGCTCCCTCACATGCGACGATCAAGCTCCTCTGGAACCCTGCAGATGAGTGCTGCCAGTTCTGGACTAGCTTCATCCAGTGTAGTCTCATATATACAGATTTGAACTGTGACAATAAAAAAAAAGGTAAAAACTGTCGATTGAAGTTGCACCTGGAAGGCTCATCAGAGGCTTGGACCTCTGAGAAGAAAAAGCCAGACACGGGTGCCGGGGATCTTCTTCCTGACCTGCACCAGGCTTTTACTCGTTTACCAGGACTTGATCAATGGATGGACATGGAAAAGACGTTTTAAAGGATACGAGTAAATGGATCATTTTGATGTTCTGAGAAGAAAAAAAGCACTGAAACTATTTACTTTGAAGAAAATGTGACTGGACACCATGTTCAGCTGTTGCAGATGGATAAAGCCTAAAGGGGCTGAAGGGAGAGTTGGCTCCTTGCCATTTAGATTTATTAACACGGTCCTGCCAGGATGCAAATTATTCAGCTGCTAGAAGTTAATTTACTGTGAGGAGAAAACATTCATGTCAAGTAGAACTACAGAAATTTCACCAATAATTTGGATAATTTTGTTGCATAAATGTTAGGCTTTAGTTTGAATTACTTAGCCATGGGAATGTTAATGTGTAGCATACAGGTGACATCTAGTTACATGTAGGCTGGAGCAGTGTACTTGCATATGTTTAATGCACAAAATAACCAAATGTAGAAAAAAAAAATGTTAAGACGCTATGCAGGAATATTAACAGATAAATTGGAAACTGTATATGCTGTATAGGCGAATTTTCAAATTGTGAGCTGCAGCAGTAACATGTACAAAGTAAAACATTTTCCCAACATAAATTTAGTTTCCTGGATCGGTCTCATTTTGCTGCTTTGTCACTTTTTCTTTAAGGGCTGTATGTTCCACTAAGAGTGAATAATAAATATCCCCTCCGGATGTAAATTGTGTTATAGATGACCTGATAATGTGCACTTCAATTTTAGCTTTAATATGTACGCCAATATTCAAAGACATGCTGCCATCTTCTGGTGGAAGTTGGAACTGCATCTCCAACAAGAGGGACAAAAACAAAAGTTTGCGTAATCAAGATATTAAATTTTACTTTCTCTTTTTATAAATCCACAAAATGATTTTACAACAGTGCAAGATGTAAACCTGCAGTTTTAAATAGAAGTCATCAGCAGCTTAAACCTTCAGCCGTGCATTCCTCTGAAATCAGTAGCTAAACCATTCAAATGAAATGTTACCGACTTCCACGTCTGAACCAGTTTTTCAAAATGGTACGTTGGACACTCAGAAAAGTGAAATAACAATACAAATTGTGTTTCCATTTTCTTTAGTGAAAATGTGCTTAAACTAAACTGAAAGGCTTAAAGGTGGTGCTAGGTTTTGCTGTGTTTGATCAGAGCAGCAGTGTAGCACCAGTATCTTCGGTGAGCTCGTAACACACTTCAGATTGTTGCAAAAGACCCAATTTGTCAGCTGAGTGGTGCAGCAAATGGACTGGTAAGGACTTCAGAGCAAGGTGTCATCCTTAAGTGGCACTTTGTGCTAAGAGGAGTCTGCAGATATGGTGATATTTATCGATCCAGACGTGGTCGCTGACAAGAGGTTGGGTGCTTTGGTCGGTGAATTGTTCATTTGAATGCTTGAAGAGGGAGATGTGGTATTGTGCGCATGCCTCGTCTCTGCTTTAGCAGGGGTCTGTGGATAAATGAAGTCGGAAGGAGGTAGAGATACAGGTGGGAACCCAGCTGGCAGCTTGAGAGGAGCAAAACCTGGAGAGAACGGCACAAAAACCAAGTGTTACTGACGAGTTTCACACGAAAACACTTAAATAGGCAAAACATTCCTATTTTTAACAGCTCCTTGGTGATAATTTTATTTTACATTTAAAAAATGTTTTTGAAAAGATAAGTGAGAAAAATCTGTTTTTTCTTCAATAGACTTGCTGCTTATACAAATAAAATTTTAGAATGAAGCAGTAATTGTGTGAATGTTTATGAAGCATTCACACTGTGATCCATTCCGTACGTTTTTCAGCATCTTTGTCGTTCCACAATTGTTGTGCTATTTCAACAAATCATCAAAATGTTCAGCTCTTTCAGGACAATCCTGCTATGACTTTTGGTATTGGTGCAACTTTAGCTTTTCGAAATATTTGGCCTTTTCTGTCACTTTTTTCCCCTCATAGAAAATTGAGCTAATTTTACATAATTCAAATCTTTAGATCCGTTTATAAACTTTTACTGCTGCTTTCACATTTTGTTCTGCTTCAGCTTCTTTCAGCTTCCTTGTGTACTGGTAAATTTAAAAAAAATTCTGCTTGCAGCTAGTTTCCGCTGTTTTGTGCTATTTTCAGATTCTTTCTGCCAACTACATTTTTGTGCTTAACTTCTTTCTGCTAATTTCAGCTTATTTCTACAAGTTTCAGCTTTTCAGCTATTTCTTCTTCAGATCCGTTTTTAGCTAATTTAAGCATTTTTTTCAAATAATTTCCACTTTTTTGTGCTAATTTTTGCTTCTTTCAGCCTAATTGCGCAAACATTTCTGCTTGCCTATGTTAATTTAAGCTTGTTTGACATTTTCAGCTAGGTTTTTAGCTAATTTTAGCTCATTTCAGATAAATTCAAGTTTTTCATGGTAATCTTTGCTACTTTTAGCATAACTTTTTCCTGCTAACTTCAGCTTGTTATGCTCCTTTTAGCTTATGGTCTTTCTGCTAGTTTCAGCTCTTTCTGCTATTTCAGCTACTATTTAATGGTTTTGTGCTAAGTTGATCTTTTTTCAGATAATTCCACCTTTTTTTTATTTTTTTATTTCACAGCTCCCTCTACTTCCTTCTGGTAATTTAAGCTTCTTTCTGCCTTTTCAGCTACTTTTCATCGATTTGTTGCTAATTTTAATTTTTTTGTGCCAAGTTATTTCAACATAATTCAGCAAATATATGTTCTTTCTGCTAACTTGGCTTTATTCTTCCATTTCAGCATGTTTTTAGCTAATTTCAGCTGTTTTTCAGCAGTAAGCATTCACTGCATTTTCGCAGGAAATGAAATATCTCTAGTTTACACCAGCACTAATGAGCTCTCTTGCTATTCTTTGCTAAAATAACATTCTAATTCCATTTCTACACAAACATTTACACAAAAAAGGTTAAGAGTTCGCTGCTTTGTTGAAAAGTTTTTTGAATGACTGAGTTGATGAACTTCCTAATCCTCTAACTGGAGGTGCAATCTATAAGCCTTTCTCTTACGCGTTTCTAAGAAGTAAAGATGAGTTTACAAGTCAAACCTGTTCAACGGTTCATACTTGCACCAAGTCTGGAACATTAGCGTATCTCTAAACTCCTGGGTTTGGATCGCAGTAACCGGAACTAAACAAGAGTAAACATCTGTCTATATAAAGTCCAGGGACACCATTCAACAGCTGGATTCTTTTAAATGACAGTGACATTTTTTTATGGACTGATTTGGACAAAAGTGCTGCAGTGGTTTTAAATAAAATGTACATTAAGGAGGTTTTACAGCCCAAGTCAAACTTATTACCTGTATGTTGTAATCCAACTCCAGGTGTTGGCACATGATTCACATTTGGCAAAGTGACGTTTAGGTTTGGTAAATTAGGAAGGAGTGGAAGATCTCCAGGAAGGGGTTGGAAACCTGAGCAACAAGAACGGTTAGTTTGAGATATTTAATTTTTTTTAATATATACACGAGGCTGTAAGCTCAGAATATCTCAACAAACCTGGTAGTGTTGGAGCAGCGTTCACAGTCCGGGGGAGCGTCTGCGAGAGGGTTGTTTGGTTGGGCAGCGGGATTATGGGAGCTCCTGAAATAACCAAAATAACACCGTGGACAACAAATCTACCCCTTGATCTGCAAATCAGATCAGCTTTTTACCACCTCAAACGGTGAACATTCCACTTATAGACACACCTGTTGGTAGACTGTTGAGGACTGGTGTTGCGTTCGAGCTGGCTGATAAACTAGCGAGAGGCTGCTTCAGTCCAGTTGAAACCGAAGACGACACGGCGACTGGAACGGTTGGAATGACAGCAGAGAGATGGACCTGATGAATAAAATTCCTTTACATGTAAACAAAATCTAAAAACAAACCCAGCGTATTAAAAGTTTTCGTCATGAAAATATGGCGTTACCTCGGTGAAGCCGTCTTTAGTCGAACGAGCTGCGTCATCGTGAGTCTGAGCGGGAAGTCCGTTCTTGTCTTCTAACCGCTGTGTGGGTATCCTGTGCAGGTAGCCGTAACCGATCCCACAGCCAAGACTGCAGCGACACACAGCAGCACAATGCAACAGCTGTAGTTACGTGCTACATGCAAAAATAATGTAAAAAAAGATGAACATTAAACGTGCAGATTATTCTGGACGCCATCTTTAGACCAGCAAAGTCTGGCCGATCTCTACCAGCCTACATGGAAACACTAAATTCAAGCTAGGCTTTCTGACCACAAGCAGGAACTTGTAACGTACAGAACCTGGAAAGAACCAGGGTGTAGAGTAAACGTGTTTGCTCATACCCAAACAGGTCTCTCTTGAAAACGAGTCCTCGTGACTCGATGAGACTAACCTGCATAAATAAAGCTTGAATGAAAAAGACAAAAGCACACGTCATTCTGTTAGGACGAGCGATGCGTCATCGACTGGGTTCAGTGAAGGTGAAAAGTTGGACAAATGTTGGACAAATTCCTCCCTCCTAGTATTGATACCTTCTAAACAAACCGTGTTCAACCCCCACTTCACTAAATGACGCGTTAAGCACGTGTTCTGACTTCAGCGAGCAGAGAAGGAATGGTCTAATACATGCTGCGTTTCACTTCTGAAGCTGAGCAAACTGGTTGTTCTGGAGAACACGCTGGAAAGCAGAACGTCCTCTAAGTGGATGGCAAACGTCATGTTCTTTCATATTCAAGTCTGAATGAAACGGGCGTGCTTCTGTGAGACAAATGCTTAAAAAAAAACAACCAAGTCCAAAAGAAAACTGGTGAAACTACAGAACGTTATAGACAATAATACGATTTATAGATGGTCTCTGAACACTTGTTTCACAGCAGGAGTTGTGTTAATATATTAATGTGTCAACACACATGGAAAGAGCTTCTTTTTTTTTTTTTACATAAACCTGACCCCTGCCAATTCTGTGGGAGCATGACTATCAAAAGTATAAACTAGAGAAGGATGTTGAATTTTTATGCGGCCCTCTCAGACCCTTACATTTAAACCTGGAGGAACAAACATGTAAGCTGGAAAAAATGAGAAATGATGGCTGTGCGTAACAGAAGCAAAGTCCTTCAAGACAAAAACACTTTAAAGGAATTTGCTCAGACTCTTTGAATAACTTCTGACAAAACTGAAAGTGAAAATGGAAATTCCCAAGAAGGAAAGAAACAGTTTTGTGGCTTTGTTTCGCGTCTACGCTAAATGAGCAGCGTGGGTTTAAATCAATACAATCTGAAGTTTCAGCTGTAAACAGGTTACAGAGCGAGTGTCGTACCTGCCCTCTCCACCCCACTCGGAGTTCGGGGTGATGACCACCTCGCGGCAGTTGTCTGTGTCTGTGCTGTAAACGTACAACTTCAGCTCCTTCCCTTCGTGAGCTTCAACCAGGGAGAACAGATCTTCAGTCTGGTCAAAGAGCAGAAACACACACATCAGTTCAGCCTGCTGCTGAATGGGTCTACACATTACTGCTGGTCACAAAGCGGGTACCTCATGCATGGCGATGTCTGCCCCGATCATGTAGTCCGTGAACGGCCTCAGACCAGCCTGAGCTGCCGGAGAGTTTGGCTCAACTTCCTGAACTCGAAACACATCAAGTAAACACATTAAAGGGTGTGGGAAGCTCTGGTCGCCAAGGAGGGAGAGAGATTACGAGCATAGTGAGAGTTTTAGCTCCGTTTGAGCCTGACGATCACCATGGTAACAGATGCTGAACTCTTAAATCTGCTCTGGACCAGTTCATGTTTAGAGATTTGCTTTAATTTGCCTGGAAAAAGATAAATGCCACGTGTTCACTAAATCTTTTCCAGATAGAAAAACTGGATTTAAACATTCCTGTCATCAGACAGAAGGACGGACGTTGAAGTTTTGATATTAGAAACTGTTTAAAAAGGTTTTATTGGTGTTAAAAGTCACTTAGAGTCCTGCACAAAAACAGATCAAATGTTTTATTCATCAGATCTTGCCACCAAAAAAACATTTATTCTGACATCTTTTCATCTACTAAATAGTTGACAGAGTTTATAGACTTCAATTCTAACTCATTTTTTAAATTAATTTGCATATCTTGCAGCAAGAAAAACATGACAAATATGCTTGGAAAGTAAAAAAAAAAAAAAAATCCTCTAATCCTGATTTAGCACCACCAGAAAGTTACAGTAAAACATTCAGACTGACCATTACAACAACACCGGAGTATTAAAGTTTAGGGATGCACGATATTGGATTTTTGGCCGATATCCGATATGTTAAAACTTATTTGGCCGATAACCGATACCAATATTTTTTTTCCTAGACCTACTTACAGAGACTACCTAGCTTTCTCTGCTGTGGAATTAAAATACTACATTATTCTGCATGATCTGTGTCAACTTGGCCTGCTAACAAATGCAGATGCCAAAAAGGGGGCTGAAAATTATGTCACACTATATGAATATTATATAGTGTTACATCATTTTCAGCCAGGTGAGTTATTTTGATGGAATGGCCGATTTCCGATATTTACCTAAATCGCTAATATCAGCTGATACTGATACCATGCCGGTAATATCGTGCATCCCTATTAAAGTTAGTTGACGACCTCCCTAGTGTTGTAAACATTTTCATGTTTGACCCAGATCTAAAGAAAAATCTGTCAACATTTTAATATTGAACTTAATTTTTTTGTCTGCATGTAAATATCAGACGATATTCAATAAATACAATATTTGATTTGATTGATAGACTTATTATAAAGGCAGAGTCAAAGCTAAAAGAACCTCTGCATAAATATAGTTTGTCTCATTTCTTAATTAATGTTTTTCCCGTCACGACTTTTATATTCTTTAAAGCTTTCTGTTCATGTAACCTCATGAATGACAAGTTGGGGTGATCGAATTGTTTCCCCTACAACTTTGTTTCAGCGTTTGATGCATTTTGTGCAGAAAAAAAGTGTTAAACGTTGCATGGAATGCCTCTTCTGATACAATTCAACACTCAAACATTAAACAGGTCCAGCTCGTAGCGCATCCCTCTGCACGCTCACCAAGACGTGCCAAACGTTCTGATTGGCTCCTTCGAAGCTGCAGAAGCGAATGCTGACACCCAGAAGTCCGTGGCCGCCCCACGCGTCGCTGGGCACGACGGTCGTCTCGCGCACGCTTTGCGTCTTGCTGTTGTACAGCAGCATCTTGACGGGCCGCTCCACGTTGGTTTTCAGCAGCTCTTTCAGGGTGTCGTTGTCCCTCTTCTGTTGGAAACAAATACATCTGAGCCGGTTTGCCATAAACCTGGTGGGTTCAAGAAACCTGAAGCTGCGGGTTTCCAGAAACGTACCAGTCTGGTGTCACAAACTGAGATGATGAAATCAAAGTATGGCTCCAGTCCTGCACGACTGCCGGGGGAATTATCCTGCACCTGCCAAGTTGAGGGCATCATAAGGATCTCATAGAGGGTTATCAGGTCCGAACAATAAAAACATCAAATGTGAAAGAGGCTAAAATGACTCGTAATCAAGAAGGGGATGCTTGAGATTTACGCCCAACTGAAAAGTAAATATTCATAACCGAGCAAAAGTTTTTTACAGCATAAAGTGAACAAGCAAACAGTTCAAGCTGTTATTAAATAAATAATGATAAAGTGAAATATGTCACATGCTTTGGGACTGTTCTTATTTTAACATCTGCTAAGGATCACAGGATTACGATATCTGCAGATGTAAAATCTTGAACCGGTCTTCGGTTTTTAATCATGGTGGAAGTGTTTTTTTTTTTAATTTTGTGGCAGATGTCATCACTTCAGAGCAGTTACATTTAAACGGTGGCCACAATAAACCAACACAATCTTACAGGAACAACTGGGAATTTTAAAGATGTTAATATTTTCACTTGTTACTCGGACCTGTACATAAATCCAAAGTAAAACTAGTGAAATGCAGAGTGAAAGTATCAGGAGTTTTTGAAAGAGAGACTTTACATCGATAAACACAGTGGACTTTACGCCTGAAATTATTCTAATTTAATATGAGGATTAAACTGATTTATTCAAAAATGCAAATACAAGAACAGAATTTTAAGTGTTTAAGTAAATCCTGATAATCTCTTCTTGGTTTCTTTCCATTTACTGAAGTGTGTAAAAGTAAGTTGTTCCCTGCATTTACAGGAATCGGTCGTGAAACGAATCGACACACTTAGAAATACATCTGAGATGTCAATAAAGCTCAGTGAAACGGTTGTATTGCTCTGAGGAGGAGCTCTTTAATCTTCCTCGAGAGTTCAACGAGTCAAACTTTACAGAAAGCTGGCTACGATTTACTGCGAAGATATTGAACAGATGTACTTAGCCGTGTAAACACTGAGATCTGCTTTATACCTGTTTTTCACTTAAATACACTGGCATCCTTGAAAACATCACACATCTAATTAAAAGATAAACATTTTAAGCATAATTTTTATTAGAAATGCTTCATCGATCCTGTTACTGATTCACACATCTGGGCACCTGCCTCGCATAAATTAAAGACAAAAAATAAAAGAGCTTTAATTAGTTTTTGGCTGTCAATTTTTACAAATATTAGTGAAGAGCTCATGTTGCAGAACTTAATGCAGCAGTTTAGATCATCTGAAGTGGGATTATGTGGACAAGTTATGATAATTATTATATTTCCTGTTGCAGATGGCTTTTTAAAGGTAGTTTGTTTGGAGAAATTTAGTTTAACGCAGACAAAACGGACAAGTTAACAAATAGTTCAACCAAAGTGCCACTTTAAAGTTACTCATATTGTAAAAATTTCAAAGCAATTAACTCATGAACCTTTGCACCGACGCCAGATTTAAATTACGTGGGAATTATAGCAAAAAATATTATGCTTTTCCTGCAAGAACTTCTGCACAGCTACAGCTAGCTACAGCTGCTATTTGTGCTTACAAATAATCAGAGACATCCATGTAAAAAGAACGGAAATGTTAAAAACTGATTTTTTTTTGTATCTGTGTTCTAACACAGCATTAATGACTTTGTTTTAACTTGTCAATCCAGTCAGAATTATTTATTTCTCCTAAATGAGGTTGTATAAAAAGACATCTACAACAGGTAGGATATTAACGATTAATAACTCTACTTCAAAAGACCTGAACTGTCACTTTAAAGTCTGGCATCACTTCCAAGGGTCCTTAAATGCATCATCTGTGATGTGGTGTAATGTTTTCTAAAATCGTTTTAAGGTGTTTGTTTCTTTTATCTGTCCTGCTTGGATTTATTTCACGGAAAGTAAGTGCTTATTCAGCTCAGCCTGACTTCTTGATCAAGTTAAGAAAGGTATCTGCAGCATTCTAAGAAAATATAATCTGAAACGTGATCTCCAGAGGTGGGGTGGAGGTTACACACCCATCTCTGTTAGTCACAGTCACCACACCGGTTATTCATGTAGCGTTAATATCTGCGGAAAGCCAAAAAAAAAAAAAAAAAAAGTCTGTCTGCTGAGGATGTTAACCGCATCTATAAGTCAATAAATATGTACATCTCTGTTGTAAATCCCTACGATTCTTATTTATTAATAAATTGAGTTAAAATAAAATAAAACGGCTGGAGCGGAGGTGCTTGAACGCATCACTCCGCTGAGTGAATGACAAACAGCAGCAATTCTCATTCAGTCATCCAAAATAAAACGTATAATATTGACAAAAAAAAAACCACCCCTAAAAAAGACTTTCAGACAAATATGTCAGAAATAAAACTCTTCTTTAAAGTTAATGTCAAATTCTTACCACTGCGGGGAAATATAAACATTTTTCTGGCTGTAATTGGGTTTCCTAGAGACACTAACGTCAGCAAGCTAAGATGCTAAACATGAGATCAAAACATCAAACCTGCTCTCACCCTGAGGACATGATAGCCTTCGGTTCCTCCACCTGGTATCTGAATGCTGTGGGAGCCCCCCATCTTTCCCTGAGTGCGTGAAACAGGGTGGGATACCTGTGCTTGTTATCAGGCGGCTCTGCGCCAAGTCATACCGCGTTTCAGTCCTATTCAGGGTTGCCAGGTAGGAAATAACGAAAGTCCCCAGGATGAGGCGTGTGGGTAGCGATAGGAGAAATATGCGGGGGGTGGGGGGGGATAACATCTAGCTGGTAGAAGAAGACTATCTGATGATATGTGGGTATTCATGTGAAAAGATGGATTATGTAGAGCGCGAGAATGCTAAAACTATTGTATATTTGAGCTTTTTTTTTTTTATGTATATTTTTAGTTTTGGCGTAAAGCTGTTGTAAAATCGCTATAGTCATCGTACACCTGGCAACGCTTATCCTGTTGTTCCAGGTCTGCAGCAGAATTTTTAGGCAGTCCGTTGTATCATATAATCAGAAAGTACCCTCTAAATACTGTTTTAAAATTGAAAAGCAGCATCCCTCCCAGTCAAAATGATAAAGTCGAAATTATAAAACGACACAAAACTCAACACAGATATTAATGTAAAATAAAGAGACAAACTGTACTTTTGTAGGTCTTAAAAAGGCTGCATAAATCATCCAAAACTAATTTTAACTCTGCAATATACATTGAAAAATATATAATTGTATATATTATGTATGCATATACATAGATACACACATATATACATAGATAAATATACATACATATATATATGTATGTATATATGTAT